GAATAAAAAGAGAAGAAGGGTGAGGGGGAGAAGAAAAAAAGTCGAAAAGAAAAAGAATTTCATTTTACGAGCATTTTAGCCTCATTCGAAGAAAACTGGAGGAGGGGGGGGTCTTAAGACACATTGGCCATTGGATGCCATGGCGATAAGTATGGGTGGCATATTTTGAGTCATGTTGAATTTACGACGTCACGTCAATCCGCAGAAAATGGAGAGGGGTGGAGGTGGGACATAAAATGAAAATAAAAATCAATTTCTGTTGTGTTTTCTTTCGTTTGCAACTTTTATGAGGATGTAATCCTTCGTGCTGCACTTCGGAACATAAATAAGGATTCATGCAAGTTTTGGGTTCTTATTCCGCGCCAATACAATGCATGACATTCCATTGACCCAGAAAAAGTTCATGCATGGCATGGCATGGCGAGTCAATATTGATTTTGGTATTAAAGTGATGGGGCGGTTGGGGTTCCGTGGCATATCGAAAAGTTTGTTGTTTGCGGTTTTTTTTAGCAAAAGTTATCAGAACGATTTATGGGTTTCAAGGGATGTAGGGAAGATCTAAGGGTATTCTGGGAAAGATAAACTAAGGATCCCCAAAGAGATAATCTCGTGTTACTGGCTATCTAAGCAAAGAGCCCATAGTAATATGACAGCATATTTTGCAAAGAGTCCTTCCTTAAGGTCCTTCTGAAAGTCTTCGAACAATACTTCCAACAAGACTAGCGTTTAGGGACATCTATGCCTGTATATCTGCATATTTAAGTAAGAGTCCTTCTTAAGGTCCTTCCGAAAGTCTACGAACAATACTCCCAATAAGACTAGCGTTTAGGGACATCTGCAGCTATGCTACAGCCCATCCTGTGTTCATTTTTTTTTTTTTTTTTCGAAGGATATGCGAAAAAATCTCCCTGACATTATGCAGCGGAATTCACGTGCCATTGTTGACCATCAGACAATATGGCAAACAAGAAATAATGAAGCTATGACATGAGGAAGAACAAAACATAAAATGAACGGACACAAGGAAGACACCAGAAAAAACACAGCGACCGAATATCCTTTGTTGTTGTTGACGTCATCATGCTTGGTGGTCAAAGCACGTAGGCTGGACATAAATGAGACGTTGAATGCCAATGAGGATGTGGAAATAAACAAATCGATAAGTATAGTTCTTAAAGATGTCCTTGCAAGGACCATTAAAACGAAGTAATCAACGAGAAGGAAGAAGAAAATTTATTGGATAATTAAATGGAGCTCTCAACGAACTTGTAATTAAATATTAAAATCAGGACAACTGAAGTAGTCGTTGAAAAAAAAAATCCCTTAAAAAATATTTCTAAAAAATCCACGTTTGTTGTAGTCCTTGAAAAAATATTTAAAAAAATCCACGTTTGTTGTAGTCCTTGAAAAAATATTTAAACAAAACACGTTTGTTGTAGTCCTTGAAAAAAATATTTTTAAAAAAATCCACGTTTGTTGTAGTCCTTGAAAAAAATATTTTTAAAAAAATCCACGTTAGTTGTAGTCCTTGAAAAAAATATTTACAAAAAATTCACGTGTGTTGTAGTCCTTGAAAAAAATATTTTTAATAAATCCACGTTTATTGGTGGTCCCTTAAAAAATATTTTTAAAAAATCCACGTTTATTGGTGGTCCCTTAAAAAATATTTTTAAAAAATCCACGTTTATTGGTGGTCCCTTAAAAAATATTTTTAAAAAATCCACGTTTATTGGTGGTCCCTTAAAAAATATTTTTAAAAAATCCACGTTTATTGGTGGTCCCTTAAAAAATATTTTTAAAAATCCACGTTTATTGGTGGTCCCTTAAAAAATATTTTTAAAAAATCCACGTTTATTGGTGGTCCCTTAAAAAAATATTTTTAAAAAATCCACGTTTATTGGTGGTCCCTTAAAAAAATATTTTTAAAAAATCCACGTTTATTGGCGGTCCCTTAAAAAAATATTTTTAAAAAATCCACGTTTATTGGTGGTCCCTTAAAAAATATTTTTAAAAAATCCACGTTCATTGGTGGTACCTTAAAAAATATTTTTAAAAAATCCAAGGCTGTTGTAGTGCTTGAAAAAAATATTTTTAAAAAGTCCACGTTTGCTGTAGTCCTTGAGAAAAATATTTTTAAAAAATCCACGTTTGTTGTAGTTCTTGAAAAAAATATTTTTTAAAAAATCCACGTTTGTTCTAGTCCTTGAAAAATTTTTTTTAAAAAATCCACGTTTATTGGTGGTCCCTTAAAAAATATTTTTAAAAAATCCACGTTTATTGGTGGTCCCTTAAAAAAATATTTTAAAAAAATCCACGTTTGTTGTAGTTTTTAAAAAAACTATTTTTAAAAAATCCACGTTTGTTGTAGTCTTTAAAAAAATATTTTTAAAAAATCCACGTTTGTTGTAGTCCTTGAAAAAAATATTTTTAACAAATCCACGTTTATTGCTGGTCCCTTAAAAAATGTTTTTAAAAAATCCACGTTTATTGCTGGTCCCTTAAAAAATATTTTTAAAAAATCCACGTTTATTGCTGGTCGCTTCAAATTTTTCTTAAAAATCCACGTTTATTGCTGGTCCCTTAAAAAATGTTTTTAAAAAATCCACGTTTATTGCTGGTCCCTTAAAAAATATTTTTAAAAAATCCACGTTTATTGCTGGTCGCTTCAAATTTTTCTTAAAAATCCACGTTTATTGCTGGTCCCTTAAAAAATGTTTTTAAAAAATCCACGTTTATTGCTGGTCCCTTAAAAAATATTTTTAAAAAATCCACGTTTATTTTTGGTCTCTTAAAAAATATTTTTAAAAAATCCACGTTTATTGGTGGTCCCTTAAAAAATATTTTTAAAAAATCCACGTTTATTGCTGGTCCCTTAAAAAATATTTTTAAAAAATCCACGTTTATTGGTGGTCCCTTAAAAAAATATTTTTAAAAAATCCACGTTTATTGCTGGTCCCTTAAAAAAATATTTTTAAAAAATCCACGTTTATTGGTGGTCCCTTAAAAAATATTTTTAAAAAATCCACGTTTATTGCTGGTCTAATAAAAAATATTTTTAAAAAATCCAAGTTTATTGAGGTCTTTTAAAAAATAGTTTTTAAAAAATCCAAGTTTATTGAGGTCTTTTAAAAAATAGTTTTTAAAAAAATCCACGTTTATTGCTGGTCCTTGAAAAAATATTTTTAAAAAATCCACGTTTATTGGTGGTCCCTTAAAAAATATTTTTAAAAAATCCACGTTTATTGGTGGTCCCTTAAAAAATATTTTTAAAAAATCCACGTTTATTGCTGGTCCCTTAAAAAATATTTTTAAAAAATCCACGTTTATTGGTGGTCCCTTAAAAAATATTTTTAAAAAATCCACGTTTATTGGTGGTCCCTTAAAAAATATTTTTAAAAAATCCACGTTTATTGGTGGTCCCTTAAAAAATATTTTTAAAAAATCCGCGTTTATTGCTGGTCCCTTAAAAAATAATTTTAAAAAATCCACGTTTATTGCTGGTCCCTTAAAAAATAATTTTTAAAAAATTTACGTTTATTGCTGGTCCTTGAAAAAATATTTTTAAAAAATCCACGTTTATTGCTGGTCCCTTAAAAAATATTTTTAAAAAATCCAGGTTTATTGGTGGTCCCTTAAAAAATATTTTTAAAAAATCCACGTTTATTGGTGGTCCCTTAAAAAATATTTTTAAAAAATCCACGTTTATTGGTGGTCCCTTAAAAAATATTTTTAAAAAATCCACGTTTATTGGTGGTTCCTTAAAAAATATTTAAAAAAAATCCACGTTTATTGGTGGTCCCTTAAAAAATATTTTTAAAAAACCCACGTTTATTGCTGGTCCCTTAAAAAATATTTTTAAAAAATCCACATTTATTGCTGGTCTTTGAAAAAATATTTTTAAAAAATCCACGTTTATTGCTGGTCTTTGAAAAAATATTTTTAAAAAATCCACGTTTATTGCTGGTCTTTGAAAAAATATTTTTAAAAAATCCACGTTTACTGCTGGTCTTTGAAAAAATATTTTTAAAAAATCCACGTTTATTGCTGGTCCTTGAAAAAATATTTTTAAAAAATCCACGTTTATTGGAGGTCCCTTAAAAAATATTTAAAAAAAACGTTTATTTTGCTGGTCTTTGAAAAAATATTTTTAAAAAATCCAAGTTTATTGCTTGTCTTTGAAAAAATATTTTTAAAAAATCCAAGTTTATTGCTGGTCTTTAAAAAAATATTTTTAAAAAATCCAAGTTTATTGCTGGTCTTTGAAAAAATATTTTTAAAAAATCCAAGTTTATTGCTTGTCTTTGAAAAAATATTTTTAAAAAATCCAAGTTTATTGCTGGTCTTTAAAAAAATATTTTTAAAAAATCCAAGTTTATTGCTGGTCTTTGAAAAAATATTTTTAAAAAATCCAAGTTTATTGCTTGTCTTTGAAAAAATATTTTTAAAAAATCCAAGTTTATTGCTGGTCTTTAAAAAAATATTTTTAAAAAATCCAAGTTTACTGCTGGTCTTTGAAAAAATATTTTTAAAAAATCCACGTTTATTGGTGGTCCCTTAAAAAATATTTTTAAAAAATCCACGTTTATTGCTGGTCCCTTAAAAAAATATTTTTAAAAAATCCACGTTTATTGGTGGTCCCTTAAAAAATATATTTAAAAAATCCACGTTTATTGGTGGTCCTTGAAAAAAATATTTTTAAAAAATCCACGTTTGTTGTAGTCCTTGAAAAAAATATTTTTAAAAAATCCACGTTTGTTGTAGTCCTTGAAAAAAATATTTTAAAAAAAATCCCATTTGTTGTAGACCTTGAAAAAATTTTTTTAAAAATCCACGTGTGTTGTAGTCCTTAAAATTTTTTTTTAAAAAACCCACGTCTATTGCAGATCCCTTTTAAATATTTTGAAAAAAAAAGCTTTTTATATAAATCGGCATTTCAAAATTGATCTGATGTTTTTATCTTAAGTTCAAATAGAATATTTCAATTCAAATCACCCCCTTACCTTCGAATAACTTTCCGTTGATCGAATATCGTTTATAGTCCATGGCAGCATGGCGGCTGAGTAGCGCGGATCGACCGAGGCCGAACCGCGATATGTTAGGGAAACCAAACGGGTTTTCATTTTGTTATGTTGATATTTGTTGCTGCTGCTGTTGTTGTTATTTTGATTTTGAAAATTCTCAGTAAATCTCCAATGTTGTTGTTGTTGTTGTTGTTATTTGCATACGCAATCAGAACATGTATTTGTTATGCTTCAACTACTACTGCTGCTGCTGTTGATTGTGTAATTTGAGAACTTTTATTTTTAATTTTTTTCATTCAGATTTTGTTGCTGTTGTTGTTGCTTTTCCTTTTTTTCGGCAAAAGGACTTCTCTCTCTCGTATGAATAAGTTTTCACTTTTAATTTCGCTTATCGAATATCGTCATCAACGGCATACTTTTTTTACTAATTTCAATTCACACACACACACGCACACACACACTTTCATTTAGCTATACAAATCATTGGACCTGCGAGGGAGGAGAAGGACATTCGTAGAAAAAACAAAACGATGAGGAGTTAAGTTGTTTTTAATATTTAAATCAATATTAACAGGCAGTCAGGCGTCGAAGCGACCGTCAAACCGACGTCACATGCATTACACAAATTATATTAAGTTTGATTTTTTTTCACGTCGGTTCGAAGGATATATTGAGGGAGAGTGTTGAAGAGGGAGAAAGAGGGAGGGCAAAGTGTGTGTTTTCGATGATTGAATGGTTTTTCGAAGAGAGGACGCGTTTTTGTGATTGGAAAGGCATTTGGAGGTCTATATATAAACAGAAGAAGGAGTTCGACCCTAATGGAGCATTTTAAGGATGGAAGTCCTTCAGAAGATGTTCAATGGAAAAGAACCTTTAGAGGGTTTCCGATGAATTGAAGATGACAAGAGCGCCATCTATGGGGATTCCTTTGCATAGAAAGAGTCAAGGAAGCCTTATATGGATCTCTAGGAGATCTCTAACAGGCAGCCAGGCGTCAAAGCGACCGTCACACAGACGTCACATGCATTACACAAATTATATTAAATCGGCTTTTTCTCAGGTCTGTTAGAAGGATAATGTTAAAGAGGGAGAGAGAGGGCGCAAAGTGAGCGTTGTTTGTGTTTACGACGAGAGGATGCAGACGAAGACGAGTCGACCCCAAGGAAGCCTTCAATGGATGGAAATCCTTCAGTCCTTTTCTCATGGAAAAAAGACCTTTAGGGGGTTCCCCATGAATAAAGCATTTCAATGGGCCTTTTATGGATAGACCTCTAGGGACTTTCTTTGAATAGAAGACTTCCACGAGGACTTTTAGGGATACCAGATCTCTAGGATGAATTATGGATATATAAGACCTCCAGGAGGCCTTCTATTTATAGAAGACCTAGAGGAGGCCTTCTGGCTAAGGAGAGACCTTCCTCTATGAGATCTTCTAGGTATAGAAAACTTGCAGAAGATCTTCTTTGGACAGAAGACCTCTAGGAGGTCTTCCTTGGATAGAAGATAGAAGACTTCTAGGAGGTCTTCTTTAGGTAGAAGACCTCTAGGAGGTCCTCTTTGGATAGAAGACCTCTAGGAGGTCCTCTTTGGATAGAAGATCTCTAGGAGGTCCTCTTTGCATAGAAGACCTCTAGGAGGTCCTCTTTGGATAGAAGAGCTCTAGGAGGTCCTCTTTGGATTGAAGACCTCTAGGAGGCCTTCCTCTTGAAACTCTAGGAGGCCTTCTATGAATAGAAGGCATATGGCAGCCCTTCTATAGATAGAAGGCCTCTAGCAGCCCTTCTATAAATAGAAGTCTTTAGCAGCCCTTCTATAAATAGAAGTCTTTAGCAGGCCTTCTATAGCTTCTATCAGCCCCTCTATAAACAGAAGGTCCCTAGAAGGCCTTCTATTAATAGAAGGTCTTTAGTAGGCCTTCTATGAATAGAAGGTCTTTAGCAGGCCTTCTATGGATAGAAGGTCTCCAGCAGGCCTTCTTTGGATAGAAGATCTCTAGCAGGCCTTCTATGGATAAAAGGTCTCCAGCAGGTCCTCTATGAATAGAAGGCCTCAAGGAGACCTTCTACGGGTACGAGACCTCTAGCAGACCTTCTATGGATAGAAGACCTCAAGGACACCTTCTATGAATATAAAACCACTGGGAGGCCTTCTCTGAATAGAAGATCTCTAGGAAGCCTCCTATGGATCAAAGACCCCTAGGAGACCATATATGGTCTAGGAGGCCTTCTATGAATAGAAGACTTCCAGAAGTCTTCTATTGATAGAAGACCTCAGGGGGTTTTTTTATAGATAGAGGAGGAGGCCTTCTATCAATCGAAGACACCTAGGATAGAAGAGGAGGAGGAGACCTTTTATAAATCGAATACATCTAGGGTAGAAGAGGAGGAAGAGGGCTTCTATGGATAGGATACGTCTTTGAGGTCTTTTTATGGAAAGATGACTTCTGGAGGCCTTCTATGGATAGAAGACTTCTGGAGGATCTCTAGGGGGTCCTCTATAGATAGAAAAGCTCTAGGAGACCTTGTATGAATGGAACACATCTAGTAGGCCTTTTCAGATAGAAGACCTTTAGTAGCCCTTTTATCGATAGAAAACCTCTAGGATTCCTAAGAATCTGCTGGAGGCCTTCTACGGAAAGAAGATATTTAGAAGGTCTTCTCCTCCCCTTCCTGGTATGAAAGACGTAAAGAAGGCCGTCTCGTCTGGATAAAAAATCTTCTTCTATAGATAGAAAAGGTCTAGGAGACCTTCTATGAATCGAAAACCTCTAGGAGGCTTTTTTAGATAGAAGACCTTTAGTAGCCCTTTTATCGATAACAGACCTCTAGGATTCCTAAGAATCCTCTGGAAGCCTTCTACGGAAAAAAGATCATTAGGAGGTCTTCTGTGTATGAAAGACTTAAAGAAGACCGTCTCTAGATAAAAAAAACTCTTTAGGAGGCATTTTATGGATAGAAGACCTCTGGGAGCCCTCCTCTGGATAAAAAATCTGTTGAAGGTATTCTATGGATAGAAGACCTCTCGGCGGCCTTTAATAGATAGAAGTCCTTTAGGAGAACTTCTAAGGAAAGAAGACGTCTAGCTAAAATTCCATTCTGCTGCGTCTTTAGTCCTGCGGTTTTCACACCCCACTCTCCTCCTTCTAATTATAAACTCCAATGAATGAATGAATGACTTATTAATAATATTTTCACAAAATATAAATATAAAATAATTTCCCCTTCCACTCCCCCCCTCTCCTTTCTGGTGGATCTGGTTAGGTCACTCGTTTTCATTCAATCAGACGTTCATTCATCACTTTTTTTTTTCGAAATTCATGTGTTTGGCGACATTGGATTTGCACGCAAAGGATATGCCACTAGCCCCTTTCTACCATGGAACCCTTTATCGCATGAAACACAACAGAAGAGGAGAGGGACCAAATATTCCGAGGGGAGGGTGGACAGACATTAGAAAATGTCATAATTCCATACCAGTTTAGTTGTGAGACTACGTTCGTGTTAAGAATGGGTTTTTTTCTCAGTGATTTCATTTTTTTTTTCCTTTTGTTTTTCTAACACAGTTACGATTTTTTCCCCATTTCTTTTCAAAGTGACGTTTGTTGTTGTTGCTGCTACTGCTACTGCTATTTTTTTTTTTTTTTTTGTTTCTTTTCATTTGATTGCTTTAAGCTATTTATATCCAAAGTTGGATAAAAATGTATTGATTTTCTTCCACACTTTTGCTGGCCAATTTGAATTCCAAAAGAGAGTGAGAGAAAGAGAAGAAGAGGGGGTGGTGGTTTGGGTTGCTTGGCAAGGATGACACACTCCGTTAGACAGTTGTGTTTTCATGCAATGGAGCGCGCTTTTATTTCTTTTGTTTTGTAGTTTTTTTTTCTGTTGTGTTATCTTTTAATGTAGTTTTCGCTTTTATTTTTCTTCTCTTGTTTGGAAGTTAATAATATTTTCCAGTTATTTTTTTCTTTCTTCTTTTTCTAAATAGATTAAATTTCTCCCAACACGGAGGCACAGAGGCCAACACACATAGGCCACAGGACGAAATAACAAACACCAGACGAAACGAAGTGAAGCGTAACGCGAGTGAACTTTAGGGCGCAAGACACATTACATCACACAAACACATACACAGGGTGATGAGAGGGAGCGAGCAGTGATGACAATGTGGCGTTTTTTTTTTTTTTTGTGCACCAAATAATTTGATCGCTTGATTAAGATAATAACTTTATCCCACAATTTGGATAATAATTTGAAATACGAATGTGGATAATTTTTTATTCACAAATGTGGATAACATTTTTATCCACAAATGTGGATAATATTTTTATCCACAAATGTGGATAATATTTTTAACCACAAATATGGAAAATATTTTTATCCACAAATGTAGATAATTATTTTATCCACAAACGTTGATAAATATTTTATCCACAAAAATGGATAATTATTTTATCCACAAACGGGGATAATGTTTTTATCCACAAACGGGGGTAATTATTTTATCCACAAACGCGGATAGTTATTTTATCCACAAACGTTGATAATTATTTTATCCACAAACGTGGATAATGATTTTATCCACAAACGTGGATAATGATTTTATCCACAAACGTGGATAATTATTTTTTTCCACACATGTGGATAAATATTTTATCCACAAACGGGAATAATTATTTTATCCACAAATGTAGATAAATTATTTTATCCACAAATGAGGATAAAATTATTATCCACAAACGTGGATAATTATTTTATCCACAAACGTGGATAATTATTTTATCCACAAACGTGGATAATTATTTTATCCACAAACGTGGATAATTATTTTATTCACAAACGTGGATAAATATTTTATCCACAAACGTGTATAATTATTTTATCCAGAAACGAGGATAATTATTTTTATCCACACATGTGGATAATTATTTTATCCACAGACATCGATAATTATTTTATCCACAAACGTGGATAATTATTTTTTCCACAAACGAGGATAATTATTTTATCCACAAAAGTGGATAAGATTTTTTTCAAGCGTGATAGCGTGATTTCTTTATACTTGGCTGGAGAACCACAAGTGGCTATCGTTAGAGCACTCCAGCATTTAAATGTGAATAAATCTCTTATGTCTCGTACCATCGCTCGTTACCGTGATACTGGTTGCGTAGCCCCCCGTCAAGCAACTGGACGGAAGAAAGCAGTAACATCAGCCGAAATGGTTCGAAAAGTAATGAAGCGACTTGATCGAAACCCGCGTCGCAGTGGCTGAAAAATGACTACCATTCGGCAAACATTGAAAAGTGAGCTCGGGGTAAAGGCATTGAATTCCAAAAAGTGCAAGAGCTTACACCGCAACATAAAATAGACTCAAAAGAGCTAAAGAGTTGCTTCGCTTGACCGAACGAAAGTGGTGAACTGCCGAATTTGGGTTTCTCCTCTCGGATGAGAAAATATTCTTTGTCCGGCAGTTTGTAAACAAACACAATGATCATGTTTACTTGCCAAAGAGGTCAGCTGAAAATGGGCACCTTCGGTTGGCCACCAGAACTCAAGCGCCGGCCATGGTGATGAGGTGGTGATGGATGGTCACCATAACAGTCGATGGTCGCTCTCCGCTCCTATTAAT